CAGAGGAGATATGCTTGAATAAAAAGACAGACCACGTTAAGATTCCATGTATTGTTATTTCACCATAACCCCTTAAACAGGGTTCTGGATCATCAGACTTTATCGGAGAAAAAGATGAATGTCAAAAATGAATTTTTCATTTTTAACCCAAGTAAGTATGATGATAAAATTAACGAAGTGAGAAGTATATTGAATGAGGTCATGGTCAAAACGTGTGAATTTCTTTTTACGTATATATATATATATATATATATATATACCAGGAGCTCCAGGCTTAGATGTTTTTGGATCTACAGATGTAAATAAAATAGAAATGGATAATGACTCGGAATTGTTAGAGAGCAGAGTTCAATTCCCAGTTGAATTCGTCATATTCACTTACGCTCAAATAAACTTGAGGAAGGTGGGTAACCACCTTTTTCTTAGTAAGACTTGTATTCCTCGATGATTTTTATCTACGAAATATATTCTTACAAGTTAAAAATATTTCTGGCTTTAAATAACCTGCAAAGGGTTGATAAGCTGTAGAAAAGAATCAATTAATCAATAAAAAGATAAAAGAAAAATGTTTCTTTTGTCAGCGCGTTTCCTCCCTTATCAAAATAAATGTGGAGATTTTATTTCATAACTTGTAATTATACACAGAAAAAGCGTGGAGGGAAAACATTGTTAAGATTTCAAATTATACTTAAAGTAAAGATAAAATATGGAGGAAATTAAGTAACATACTTATTGCCTAATAAACGAAAACGAGTAAATGGTGATATTGTTTAATTTGTATTTATTTTTATTTAATATAATTATTACGCATTTTATTTTGTTTCAGTATATTAATTTAGTTACTTTAAATATTTAAACATTTTCCGTTATCTATTTTCCTTAAATTTTATAAAACATTAAGGTAATCTATGTTGTCTTCAGTAAGGAAAATTTTTGTAAAGAATGGAGATATTTGAAAAAAAAAAAAATCCAGGGAGTAAATTTACATTTTGGCATGAATCGATGATTGCAGTTTGAAGAACATTTCGTCTATGTTATTTTCTATTTTAATAAGTATAGCATTCTTTAGATTGAAGTTGCGGTTAAAATTATTTCTGAGCATAACTAATACACTGGATATATTTTTAGGTATGAGATATTCCTTATGTTCATAAACACGTTTTTTTATTTAATTTCTGAAGGTTCACGAATAAAATGTTTTACTTTTGTCAATTTCTTACACACACACAGACACACACACACACACATATATATATATATATTTATGAAGAAATATAGTTTTAAGGTTTGTTATATTTATGGGATAAAGTGCTCAATATCAGAGATAGAGCGTGTAAATATAATATAAAACATTGATTTTCAGATAGTAATTGACGCTAGACGCAATCGTCAGGCCGCCTGACGATTGCGTCTAGCATGAAACAGCCTGTCGCATCTGAGTGCTTAATTCAATGTTCATATATATATATATATATATATATATATATATATATATGCTATTACTTAAGAGTTGCAAGTATTGTTTAACAATATGTACCCACTAACATAAAGTTTAAAGTAAAAGTAAAATTATCTGATTGAAATACTGATTAATATTGCCTTAACTCCATACATACATAAAGACACGGACGCATGAACTGATAAAGAAGGCATTAAAACTTCTTTTTTTTAAATCGAAATGTTTTTTTTTGGGGGGGGGCTATTCATGAATAAACCTGCCGTCTAACCCACGCCAAAACATGGCCTCCTTTAATATCGAACGACCGAAAAAAATATTTTTTCTAATCTCATAATTTTATACTAATATTAGCTCAGTACAAGGCTCGAGAGCTTCTCAAGGTAGAGGGTGAGAGAGTGTAGCGTTTGATATAAATGCAAAAGGAGAATGTAGGAAGTGACATTGATAACGTTACTTAACGATTAATCTTTGACCTTTTCCTTCATCTGGTAGCGTTCGTGGAAACATCCACGCCGGATTCTGTTCCACAAAGAAGGGGTTTGGGGGAAAGAGCTGAATGGAGGCTCGTCCTTACAAATGGAATAAGGATGAGAATGCGTGACTAAACTGTAAAAGACTGAACCAGTGGAATAATGAACGGTGCTCGTCCGAAGATTTGCGATCAAGACGAGTGTTTAAAATTTGGTAAAATGTTTTCGCCAAGTGATAACAAAATACTGTTTAATTCGCACTTTGTCCAGCCTGACAGTAATATTAAGTTTATCAACGTAAGAAATGTTTAAACCAGAGCGAGTGGAGTGGCGCACTAACACTAAAAGTATAAGGTGGGTTACCGTTAAGAATAATGCATGGTCGTTTTTGCAAAATAACGTGTTCAAAATTGCTGGTAAGCGTGGTTGTTGCTATTATTGATTTTTGTATTAGTTATGTTGGTTTGGTGCATAATTATCAGGCGTTTTTATAGGCGAGATATTTGATAATAAAAATTGCTGTTTTGCTTAATTTTTTTAATAAAAAATATTATTTTATTTTCAGGTTATAAAAATGTGTGTCGATGATCATACGCTTCGGAATAATAAATTATAAGTGTCATTGTTGAATTGTTATATTTCTTTTTTCATAATAAATATTGTTTAAAAACGCCTGATAATTATGCACAAACCCAATAGAATTTGATGTTTCATTCGAATGCAAGTGATGAACGGTTTGTTTAATAATTTAATTTCTAGTCATTTTGTAAATCAAAAATCCAGCCTTTTATCGTATGGAACAGCAAAACCAATAATTTGACATTTGCTACTCATCTTATCTATAACAATGTGGTTATTATTATTATTATTATTATTATTATTATTATTTTTATTTTCTTTGATTTCTGGCGTTTACATATTTCTTTCCGGATCCCGCCCAGGGACCTAAGGTTAGAAATGGCGTCATGACACTTTCCACTGACAAAAAAAAAAAAAAAAAAAATAAATTACATAGATAAAGCCCTTCGTAAGGTGAGGGCTGTACTTGTCAGAACAATTTTTTGTATCTCCTTGAGGCATGGTTCCAGGAATCCCTTCAATTAGTCTACTGCAATCTTTTTCCAACCAGTCCTAGGGCTCCAACTACAACAGGGATTGTTGATGTTCCCATATGCCACATTTTCGAGATTTCTATTTCAAGGTCCTTGTACTTTGACAACTTTTTGAATATCTTCAAAGATATATTGCAGTCAGCAGGGACTGCCATATCAATAAGGAGGCATCGTTTTTGTTTGTGGTCTTTAATAACAATATCTGGCCGGTTGGCCTTGATTGTTCTGTCAGGGTGTATTGTGTAGTCCCATAGAATTGTAACAGGTCCTATCTCCGTAACCGGGTCTGGGTGGTGTTCATAGCAGTTTCTTTAAGTTTATCATTATTATTATTATTATTATTATTATTATTATTATTATTATTTTATTTACTTTGATTTCTGGTGTATACTCATTACTTTCTGGGTCCTAAACAGAGAGCTAAGGTCAGAAATGGCATCATGACATTTTCCACTGAACATTTTTTGAGCTGAACTTGTGAGCACAATTTTTGTATTACTTAGGCTACCAGGAACTCTTCAAATGTATCTGTTGGAAACTTTACCAATTAATCCAAGGGCATCAGCTACAACTGGAATTATTGATGTCCTCATGTGACATATTTTTTTTTTAATTTTTCACTTCAAGATTCTTGTATTCTGATAGTTTGTTGAAGATCTTCAAAGATACATTACAATTTGCAGGGACAGTCATGTTAATAAAAAGGCACATTCTATTTTTGTGGTCTTTGATCTTGATGTCTGGGCGATTAGCTTTGATTATTATTATTATTATTATTATTATTATTATTATTTCCATTGACTTCTGTTGTATACATATTTTCTTTTGGGTCCCAGTCAGAAATGTCGTCATGACATTTTCCACTGATCATTTTGGTAATATAACAACCATTTTACATAGATAAAGCTCTACGTAAGGTGTAAACTGTACTTGCAAGTACAACCTTTTGTATTTCTTTAAGGCTTCGGCTAGTAGGAATACATTTAATGAGTCTATCAGAATATTTTCCAATCAAACCGAGGACTCAAACTACAACTGAAATTGTTGATGTCTTCACATGCCACTTTTTGAGATTTCAATTTCAAGATATTTTTATTTTGATAGATTATTATTATTATTATTGTTGTTGTTGTTGTTTTGACTAATTTTTAAAGCATTTCGCAACTGGTTGTTTTCACTGGAGTCTAAGTCACATCAAATCTATTTAATACTTCTTAGGAGTGATTCTAATCTGTGCCTGTATAATATGTACAATGTACAATATGCATAGTTAAAATGCAGTCACTTGTACTGTTCCTAATGTATCATCCTTCCTACTCATTCATGTATATGTCTTTCCGCCAAACCACGTGCCCAGGATCGAATTATCCTGATTCCCCTCGTATTTCACGAGTAAGGAAAAAGGTTCACTCATACAGCTTCCTCTCAAGAACTGTTACTTTGGGGAAAAGACATTAATCACTTCAATCTTAGCCTTCTCAAATTTAAATACAACCATTATCTATCCTGCATCTCCTCATAATCTCCACTTCTTAGTTCTCTACAACAATCTCATTCAGTAACACACTGCCTTGAGTGTCTCTTGGACCTTGTATTGAGTGAACAATAGTATTAAAACTATGTTTGACACACCAGATTGGGTATTATGATATGTATATTAGAATTCGTATATTTGTTTTAATTGATTGAGTGTCTTGTTTTTTACGGCTTATCAACATTGTGCAGATTATTTAAAGCCAGAAAAATGTTTGGATTGTAAGAATTATTTTTAGAAAATAATGATTTACTGATACACGTCCTACTATTTAACCCATAGCTGGAGAGAGAAGAGCTGAATTCATACTTTTCCAAGGTTATTTGTGCGGAAGTGAATATACGGAATACGACTGGAATTGGAACTCTGCTCCTCTGATTAATAATTCAGAGTCCTTATTAATTACATTAGCCACACATCCCAGGCTACAGCACCTGGTATTCCCCATTTGTCTCCCATCTAGGTATTGACCCGATTCAACGTTGCTTAACCTCGGTGATCGTATGGGAACCGATGTTTCAACGTGATGTTGCCGTAAACCTTGTATATTTGTACCCCAGCGTCATCGTTTTTTCGAACAGTTCTCTCAATAATAATAATAATAATAATAGTTCGAAATTCATGATTTGCGGAAAATATGATGAAACTGTCGACCATATTATCTCAGGATATCTAGAATCGGCAAAAAATGAATAGACCTACGGACATAATAAGGTAGCGACATATGGGCACTGGAAGATATGAATGAAGCACAAAATCAAAACCACTGAGAGATGGTATGACCACCATCCAGACACAGTTACCCATAATAACGATGTAACTATCCTCTGGGACATGCCAATTCAAACTGACAGGGAATTAAAAGCCAACAGACATGATATTATCATAAAAGAAAAGAAATTCAGGAGGTGTTTGCTTATTGACGTAGCATTACCATATGAGAGAAGCAACTCGATAAAAATTATCAAGAAATTATACAAATACAAGGACTTGTAGATCAAGATTAACAGGATATGGGGAATAAAGACTGAGGCTATCCCAATAGTAATCGCAGCTCTGGGCCGCGTGAGAAAAGGAATGAACAATTTTACTAACAGTGCCCCAGGTTAAAAAAAAAAGAGTTAAATATCTTTGTTTTTAAAAACAAAATTTAGTGAAACAAAACAAGTGCAGTTGACCACTGATGACAATTCCAGAACAACGTAACAATAAACAATTTTTTTCTTTATCCCCTGCCAGCCGCAATGATGGAGAAAGCATTACCTCGAACCATCGCCAGTGAGACACGCTGCAAGAGCTACTCCGTTTTCGCTAGGCTCGTCCCTTAATCGAGACGCAATCGCGCCAATCCTCCGAAGGAACGCCATCGAACGAGGGCCAATAACCCCTGAAAAAAAATGATAACGAGTCTCCATTACTCCCTTTGGTATTTTGATATTAGCAATGACGTCATCGATTTAGTAATGACGTCACTGAAAGTCAGGATTTTTATCACGACGTCATAGTTTCTAATTTCTTCAGGTCTCTAGTTTATCCATCCTCTTTGCAAACCTTTTCCATATCATTCCAAATGCTTCTCTAATGAAAGTAATACACACAAAGCATATAGACTTGACGTTATCCCTGCAACAGACCTTGGGAAATGTGCTCCTGAACTGGTTCCTGTTTTCTCTACAAGCTCTACAATAAATGCTTTGCACCTTCTTGTTTACCTGTTTGTTGGAGATCATCATCTGCATTCGCAGACTGTTGATGTATTAACGATTATTTCTGAAAGTAATTATCAAGCTTTAGACAAGAATGATGAATCTCAGATTGTTGGTTTGGATATTCCGGTGGCATTTGACAGGGTATAACATATTGGTCCTGTAGTGAGAGAATACACTTACCACGTCGAGTAAAACTGACATGTACCTGTTTGGCGTGTAAATCCAATATGGCCGACGTCGCAAGGCAGCGACAATGTCACGTGTGGTCGCGAGGAGCGGCTATTTGCAATTGCTCCACTACGCATGTGTGACGCTACTTTTTTACGATCGTAGCGTTGTTCAAGTGTGACTGTTGGACGGAATGGTGGATTTCTAGTGGTTTTATGTGCATTGGGATTTTAACATTGGACATTTTTTTCTAGATTTTGCCATTTGTTTGTTTTGTTTTAAACTTAAGCCATCATATTAACTTTATAATAGGTTTCTTTACAAATTGAAATGTTATAGTGCTTGTTGACGAATTTTTGAACTGGTTCACTCTTTCTTATAAAATCGAGAAATGAAAGTTGTCTTGAACGGCCACTCTTCTAGATCATTTTGCTTTAATGTAAGCGTCTTCAAAGGCTCTATACTTGGATCTACGTTGTTCCTAATTTTCATCAACGACTTTCCTGATGATATCAGTTCTCTATTCGGTATGACACAACTATTTACTTCTGTCATAATAATAAGTCTGATCAGTATCTGTCTATATTTCTGAGATGAGCTATTATATACACTATTTATATTATTCGGACTATTTTCCTCATCTTTGTCGCCATATTTATTACAACGTTTCGGCCGTTGTACGTTCCGACCTTCTTCAGGTGATTGGAATGCCGAACTGAACCCTTTATTTCGCTCGCTGGTGTAGACTGTTCTAGTTCCACGTGTCATGTCTAATAGATGCCAGTTACCAGTTATATCCTGTTAATTCACCTCTCCAAGTTCTCCACTGCTTTAACCAGGTATTGAACTCACAACTCTTTACTTAGGTACTGTCACTGAATCTAACTAACACCTTTATCCACTGTGCCATGTGTCCAGCGAGCGAAACAAAGAGTTCAGTTCGACATTTCGAATAATGTAAATAGTGTAAGACTGATCAGTTCGATAAGGTCATATTGACAGCTGATCTAAAAAAAATGACTCACATTCTGTTGTTAACGGGGGCAAAGAATGGCTTGTTAATTTTAATGCAAAACGAAACTGTTCTCTGTTAATCATCAGAGAAAACGCTTTCTGCCTTCCATGAGTATGGCTGATGCTAACCTTCAGGAGAGTGACTCAATGTGCATTTTCAGGCTAATGTTTTCCACTGACATGAAGGAAGAAATATTATGTTGAATCTATTGTTAGGTCTTCTGCATAGGAACGTTGTTTCACTGTGTCGTGCTAAACAATATTTCTCAGCGTAAACTATAGTACATATCTATAAATGTACCATTCATTCATTCTATGAATATTGCTGCCACATATGGTCTGGTGACCGTAGTATATATTTAGAGATCCTTGATAAACTCCATAGAAAAATCAGCAATGTCATTGGTCCTGTCCTGTCCTGGCATCTCGGCTTCAGTTACTTTCTCCCTGCTATAATGTAGGTTTTCCATAAACAATTTCATGGTTGTTGTTCTGATGAGCTTTCATCTGTTACTTTATTATATACGACTTTATGAATTTTAAGCGTACTCGATTGGCGGCAAGGTCTCGTTATTTTACAGTTAGAATAGCTAGATGCAACCGTAAGGTTCTATGCTAACAGTCTCTTTTCTCACACTTCTCGCTTTTGGAGTTCTCTTCTGACTTCTTCTTTCCAGTCAAGTTTGATTTTCAAAAATTTAAATGTCAATCGTTATCTTGTGTCTGCATAATTCTTTTTCTGTTATCGTTTTCGCTCTTTAATAATGTTTTTCTCTTACTTATATTCTTTTAACCTAAGTAACCCCCAGTGTTTTTGTAACTTTATTGACTTGCTTGGGATGAAAGGATTAAAAAAATAAAGAGGCAGCGGAAAATAACGAATAACAAAGTGGAATACAAAGCAGGATCTGCGATGGATGATAAAGGGACAACCACTGCTTTGAGTTACAAAGGGCAGAATATTGTAAAGTGCCATGTTCGAGAAAGGGCCAAGAAATGACACGGATCATAAAAGAAGAAAATTATGATCATAAGAGTAATTTTTATATCTTAAAATTTTTCAGTTGTTTTACGTCTTGTCCAACCTTTTATTTTTACTGAATAATTTTGCTTTATTAGCGACATCAAATCTGAGAGAAATCTCCATTTGAGGGAATAGAGAGAATGTTTTTAGATTCGCCATTGGCTTGGATCGTAAAATTCCATTTTTTTAAACTATTCCCATTTGAAAACCTTTCCTATCTAATTATGTCTAACAGCATTTATAATTAGAACTATTTCAAATGTTCTTAATTATTTATTTTTATTATTTGGTTTCTATTCATATTTTATCACTGTATTTAATAGCACTATATATGAATGTAAACATACTAACCTATATATTTATCAATACGGTGGAGTAATGGATAGTGGCACGGATTGTGGAATCGGCGACCCGAGTTCGAATTCCAGTCGAATCTATTACATTCACTTACTTGCTAAATAACCTTGATAAAGGTATGAATCCTCTTCTTCTCTTCCCAACTATGGGCAAATGGAAAACCGAGCTCTATAGCCTTGGATGGCAACTAGTCTACAACAGAAAGAACTACTGCGGGAAAAATCTCGTCAGTCATGTATCGAAAGATACATGATCGTCTAAGCGTGTATCACGCATGGCACGTAACTGACAGACAAGCGATTTGACGCGAAACTCTGGAGTCAGTCAAGTTCATTGAACGTTTATTGATCTATTCAAATCTTTCTTTCTATGTGCCGTGTCCTTTCTGGACGTAGACGATCATGGCTCTCCACTTTCCTCTATCCCTTGCAGCTCCACAAATTCCTTCTCTCTACCACCTCCCCTAGACCACTTCTGTCATCCACTTGCTTAAGACTGCTAGATATGTCGTGCGTTGTTTTCCCTTGTCTGTCTTTCATTCTAATCGACCCGTGAGTATCAGTTTCTCCAGGCCCACCCTTCTCATTATGTGCCCTAGGAAGTTCAGCTGCCTCTTCCTGATGTTAAGTATAAGCCTCCTTCTTTTTTGCATCCTCTCTAAGACCTCATCGTTGCTCGGTCCATGGTATCCTTACCGTCCTTTTGTAAAACCACACCTCCGTCGCCTCGAGTCTCTTCTTCATCTTTGAGGAAATATTCGCTGCCGTAAAGAAGGACAGATGCCACGTAACAGCTCAGTATTCTTTTCTTTGTTACCAAAGAAATCCATCTGTCTCGCAATACTCTGCCCAGCTTTTGGATTGCGTCCTTGGCCATCCCAATACGTCTATGGATCTCAGTGTCGCATTTGCCGTCCTCTGTCGGAACGCTTCCCAGATATTTAAACTTCAAAGTCTGCTTGATTCTAATGATCCAAACCTGCAAATCGCATTTCGGGTTAATTCTTTTACTGATAACCATGCTATATTTTTTAATCGGTGTTGTTTTATGTTATATAAGATTTTTTAAAATTCCGAATTATTTCTTTTATGTTATCGGTAAATTTCTAAAGTTCATATTTATATTTATTTTATATTATTTTTCCCGAGTACTTTAGTATCCTTGAAAACTTATGTAGCGAGAATCGAAAATATATAATAGAAGGAGCGACAACTGACGAAATGTTTACAAATTTACGATATTTCGAATTTATTTAACATTTATCA